CTTTAATTTCAGGGAATTTTTCTTCTATCTTATCCTTGAATATTTTTTTCTGTTCAATTTGTTCTATTTTTCTTCAGGAACATCAATTATGGGTATGTGGAATCTCCTTTGTCAATCTTACATGTGTGTCATCTTTTCTCTAACCATTTTTATCCTGGTGCTTTTCCAGTTTTAATTTTTCTGAAGTCTATCTTCATGTCACTGCAAGATTGTTCTGTTTTGCTGCTTCTAATGTGATTTTTCATCATTTGCTGTTTTCTTCATTTTCTTCTCTAAGCTCTTCTAGCTCATCTGTTGGTTCTCAGAGTTCTTTTAGCTTCTTATGTCTTTTCAGTTTGAGAGTGCAGAAGATATGTTGGAAGTTAATTCTGCCTCTTGCTAGCTAGGACTTTTTCTCTTTTGTGTTGATGTTAGGGTAAAAGTTATTTGCCATGTGTAACCATTCTTCTTTTGAGTTGAGTTTTCTCTGGGCTGCTGTTTTTTAAAAGTAAGTTGGATTTACTGGAAGTTTCATTGTGTGTGTGTGTGTGTGTGTGTGTGTGTGTGTGTGTGTGTATGTGTGTATGTGTATGTGTGTATGTGTATGCATGCAAACACATTTCTCACTAGATTTGCTCACTTCTCTCTGGGGTTTGTCTTTGGCTTAATCAGTGAAATCACTTGATTCATTTTCTCTTTGGGGACTGAATTTGATTATATGACTTCATCTTAATTCATAGTTGATTTTGTCTAGAGATTGTCTTCTCTACCCTTCAGGTAGTTTCAGGGACTTTTAAAAGCTTTGCCAAAATGCTCGTAAACAAACTAGAAGACCCTATGAATCAGCATAAAAGTGACCCACAGTGACTTAAAAATTTTCAGATTGTCTGATAGTATTGCATAAATTACTAGATTAAGTTTAAGAATAAAAATTTAGGCTTTTCTATAAAAGCACTAGACCTAAATTTCTTCTTTGTTCTGGTATCAGTTGGTTGAATCCAAGTAGCTGCTTCCCCTTTGGGCATATGCATTCTTCACTGTAGTACCTACCATTCTGCTTCCACTATGGTTTGAACACTATGATAGGATGCCTAGAGATTTTCATTCTTAAAAGCAAATAATATTAGCAGGGTCATAATGAGTAATGTAGGCTGTGGCTAGGCAAAGAATGTAAGCCACAGGAACTCACTGATGGCAGTAAATGTTTCAGTTTGGAAAGGAATCCTGCTTTAGAAGTTACTATTGAAAAGAACTTTTTTTTTTTTTTTGATGTTGCCCTGGTGGGGATGGGGGTATAAAGATGATTAAAATTGTTTGAGATATTTTTTGAGATATTTTGTATAAAATATACAAAAAAACCCTCAATAAAAGGATAGCTGAAAAAAAGAAATTTTATAAATTTTTATTTTGTGATAAAAATTATTAAGGTGGAGCTGGAGAGATGGCTCAGCAGGTAAGAGCACTGGCTGCTCTTGCAGAGGACCCAGGTTTAGTTCCTAGTACCCACATAGTGGCTAACAACTGTCAGTAAGTACAGTTTTAGGGGATTTGATTTCGATGCCCTCTTCTGGCATCAGTGGGCTTTGCATGCATGGGTGCACATATATGCATGCAGACAAAATACACACATAAAATAAAAATAAACCAAAAAATTTTAATTCATAAAAATTTTAGTGAAGGAAAATAGATAGTAAAAAGTTAACAAATGCTTAGCACTTTTTAAAGATTTTTACCTCTCTTCATTTCAGCACCATTTTAAGTACATTGGCAATATAATAAAAACTATTATATAAAACCAGATATAGTGGTGGTACACTCCTATAATCCCAGTCCTCAGGGGTCTGAGGCAGGAGGATTATCACAAGTTTAAGGCCAGCCTGGATACATAGCAAGTTCCAAGCCAATTTGGGCTTTAGAGTGAGATCCTTGCCCCCCAAACAAAACAAAACACTCCACTGTCTATCACAGTGCTGTGTGTTGCAGCATTGCTATCAGATCTTTACTAAAGCCTGTTGTGGAGGTTGGAGGTGTAGGTCAGTGCTTTCCCCTTGGCTTAGTGTGCATGAGACCCTGTATCCTATCCCCAGCATCAACAAAATTAAAAAAAAAAAAAAAAAAAAAAAACCACAAAAAACTAAAAGCTTGTTTAATATAGATCCTAGAATGTCTATAAGAGTTATGAATACCAAAAATTACATAGACATGGCTCTTTCCCTTGAGGAACATACAAACTGGTGGATGCATGTGCATAAAAATGGAGTTTCAGATTATTGCACAAGATATTCGGTGACATATATATTCTGAAATTGCTTTAGAAATTGCCAAAATTAGATTGAAGTATGGATTCAGAAAGAGTAGAATCTACATAAATAGAATTGAAATTGAAAAAAGTTACTCAAATAAAAGTGTCATCTACAAAAGAATATACCTGTGAGGAACAGTAGGTTCATAGATGACAATGCAGGAACTGTCAGGTTACTTTGAATGGAAGGCCAGATCACAGCATATAAATGGAGAAAGACTGAGAAATGGACAGGTGTGAGATATAGGTACCTAATATCTATACATGTAGATATATATCTCATATCTATATATCATAATATATACACACACATATATGAGTACATTTACAACTTGTTTTTAAGTTCACATTTGTTTGAATACTAATGAGTAATCTTGACTTATTTTCTTATAGAGAATGGTTTTTCTTGCTTTCCCATGAAGTTTTGAACCCAATGTATTGCTTATTTGAGTATGCAGGCAAGAATAACTATTGTTTACAGATAAATCCAGCATCAACCATAAATCCAGACCATCTTTCATACTTCTGTTTTATTGGTCGCTTTATTGCAATGGTGAGTTCCCAACTTTGTTATTTTATTTAAGCATTGCTTATTTTAAAAGTATTCTAGAGGCTGGGGAGATGGCTCAGTGGGTAAAGTGCTTGCCTAGGCAAGCATGAGGACTAGTGTTTAGATCCCCAGACCTGAGTAAATGTATGGTGGCTGTGGAGGCCTGCCTGTAATTTCTGGATTCTGAAGGTGAATGTGGGATCCACGGAGCAATCTGGCTAGCTAGACTAGCTGAAACAGTGAGGTTGGGTTCTGAGAGAACTTGCTTTAATTAATACGGTGGAGAGTAATGTAAGACTCCCAACATCTGCCCTGAGCCCTCACACACAAGCACACATGTGCACTGCATCTGGACACATTTGTGAACACCCCATACACAGACACTTGCTAAAAAAAAAAGTACTTTATAAATCTTTTGTAAAAGACTTTATACCCACCTTGAGGAGCTGGGGACAGAGGTATATTCCTCAGTGGTAAATAGGCCTCCTCAAATGATTAACATTTCAGCTATGCTCATACATGCGACCCTGAAAGTAGAGGTAGACTTGTTGGGAAGAAGGGGTTTAATGGGGGGGTATGATCAAAGTATGTTATATGTATGGATGAAATTTAGAAAGAATAAATAAAAGTTGTGGAGTGGGATATATAAGGATTGGGGTTATGTGTAGCTCAGGCTGGTCTAGTATTCACTGTGTAGCTCTGGCTGGCCTTAAACTCTGTCTTAGGTCCTCTGAAGTGGTGGGATTACTGGCATATGCCACCACACTCTGTTATTGTTTACATATTTTGTTACCAAGAAAGTTTGCATAGGAAGAGGGTATCAAGATATAGCTTATATCCCAGCACTGGGGAGGCTGAGGCAGTAGGATTGCTGTGAGTTAAAACAAAAATCTATGTATATTATTAAACCAAGATTATGAATATGGGGATATTTTTGTACAGCCACTTAGTGTTTATAAAGTAAAGCCTACTTATAGCTTAACATTTTTTTTAATAAAAGAAGGCAAATCTGAGTTACCAAATAAGTATATTGAAATTAATGTTTTGGGAATTTACAGAGTTTTGTAGATGCCCTTATGGAATTATTGTCTTTTGAGAGGTTGAGAGGTTTTTATACTACATTATCCATTAATTCATTTAGAAAAAACAATTTTCTTTTTTGTCTTTTTTAGCCACGGTCTCCCTGTAGCCCTCCCTAGCTGGCCTGGAACTTGCCATGTAGACCAGGCTGGCCTAAAACTCACAGGGATCCAACTGCCTCTGCCTCCCAAGTGCTGGGATTAAAGGCGTGTGCCACCACACCCAGCTTAGAAAATATTTATTGAGAGCCTACAATAATTACATGTCCTGTTGTAGGCACTGGAGATTAAAAAATCAAGAGACACAGTTTCTACTTTTTGGATCCAAATTCTGTAAGAGGGGCATAAGGAACATCAAGACAAAGCCTCTAAGATAGAAATTCCTTCTTGGTTGAAAAAGAACAACATGGGTGGAGAGAGAATAAATGAGATTGAGAAATACTGTGTAGGGCTTTGTATTAAATTCACAAAAGGATTTTGAAACCACTTGGTATCATGAGCTAAGTAACATTATATAACTTACATTTTATTAAACTTGCTTTGCTATAGAAGAAATACCATAACTGGGGTGGAGGAAGGCAAAGGTAGAAACCATTTATGACAGTCGCAGTGACAGATGATAGTGGTTTTAGATTTGTAAAATGTAGTAATTAATGGAACATGTGAGAAATGGTTTAGATTCCAGATATATGCTGAAGTTAGAACTGTAAGGATCTTCTGATAGATTAGAGGCAAAGTATAAGAGTAAAGTGTGGACATCAAAATTATGGCTTGTTCATCTGGTTGAAATTGCCATTTCCTAAGATGGCTGCAAGAGCAAATACCAGAGGTAACGGAACTCAGGAGTATGGATTTTCTTCTACATTCAGGATGCTATAGGCAGCCTGTGGAGGGGTAGAATAGATATTTAAATCTGACAAGAAGAGGCTATTTGGATTATAGAGAGTAATGTGGGATATCAGGCATGTAAGTAATATTAAAAGCCCATGATTATGTTAAGAAATAAGTGTGAACAGAGAAATTAAGGACATTTGTAAGTTGAGGAGGTAAAAAGGAGTCAGCAAAGAAGCTGAGGTTAGGAAATCAAGTAAGATGGGTATGGTGGTGCTCCAGTACTCTGAAGGCAGAGGTAGGCAGATCTCTGTCAGTTCAGGGTCAGCTTGGTCTACATAGGGAGTTACAGGCCAGCCAGTGCTACATAGTGAGACCCTGTCCCAAAAAACAAACAAACTGGGCATGGTGGCACACACCTTTAATCCCAACAGTACTTTCAAGGTAGAGGCAGGTGGATCTTTGTGAGGCAAGCCTTGTCTCCATAGTGAGTTCCTGGCCAGTTGTGGCTACAGAGAGACTCTGTCTAAAAACAAACAAACAAACAAACAAAAACTGAAAAGAAAAAGAAAATAAAGTATGAGCGATTCCTAGAAGAAAATGAAAGGAAGTGTGTTTCAAAGTAGAAGCTGTGATTGATCATCTCATGTTATTCATAGGTCTAGCATTGAGTGGTGGGATGAAAACATTGGTGAGGATTAAAAATAGAAAATATGAGCATATGCTTTTTAAAAGTTTGCCATAAACGATCATAGAGAATTGGGTAGTAATTAGTAACTAGATATGGAGTCAAGAATTGTTGAATGAAATATTTTTATTACTGATGGTCATGATCAAGTCAGAGGGAAGATAAAGAATTTTTTTTTGAGACAGTTTTGTTATTGTAGCTCAGACTGGTACCCTCCTGCCTCAACCTCCTGAATGCTAGAGTTATAAATAGGCACGTGCCACCAGGTCCAACTGAGGACAAAAATTTGATGAAGTCAATATGCAAGGAATGTGGCAACAGTGACCTTGAATAGAAAGGGGGAAGTCTCATTGCCCACAGAAATGATAGAAAGCATATTCACATTAAAAGTAATGGTAAGATTTAGGTGCCAATGGGGAGCAGATTTGGTATAATACAGAAAAAGTTCTCTGGTTTCGATTTCCTGTGGGCAGTAGTAATGAGGAAAGAGGAGTAGGGATGAAACCGTCATCTGAGACAGCGGGGAAGTGACCGTAGTAAGGACATAATTCTAGGCAACTAAACTTCATGGAGGTTGCTGGTCATAAACCAGTTAGCCTGATATATACATTTCTGGCATGCTCTACCAATGTCACAGGCATTGAGTAAATTGAAAACTAAATTTATCTAGGCTTGGGATTTTGTCAGAAATACAGTGGGGTGGGAGTTGAAGGTATATAAGATAATGATTTCCATTATTGGTGAAAGAATAACTTAATGAAAGGCTAGGGAGGAATATAATTGGATTAGTGAATAGTTCTAGATCCCCATAGGGTCAGAAATCACTGGACTCTGGGGCTTCTTCCTGTATTGGCTCTTTGAGTAGGAGTGAAGACACCGAGGTCGTATAAATAAGAAAGGAATGGAAGAGAGATCTTTCCAGGCAGAGGGTATTTTTATTTCCGCGTCTAATTGAATTAACATATAAAATATATTATAAAATAGGGGGAGTGGTAATAAAATCCTACATTGTCCTATATATAGTTTTGAATTGTACATTATATATGTGTTTGGCCTTTGTGAAATACATTTTTAACGTTAGTTTCATTTTTGTGCTTAGTATTTTAATTTTCACAATTTATACCACCAGCTATTTTTTTTTCGTCTGTAAAGTTTAATGATTTCTGTGCTATCATCGGGCTCTAAATAAGGTTATTATTTCGTAGGTTTAAATAAAATGTTTTATTTTTCTTGACAGGCACTATTTCATGGAAAGTTTATTGATACTGGTTTCTCCTTACCATTCTACAAGCGTATGCTAAGTAAAAAACTTACTATTAAGGATTTGGAATCTATTGATACTGAATTTTATAACTCCCTTATCTGGATAAGGTTTGAAGATTTTTTTTAATGAGATATTCACTTGAAACCCATTTAACTATTTTGTTTCTGTACATACTTACATACACTTTATTTATTTTACTCAGAGACAACAACATCGAAGAATGTGGCTTAGAAATGTACTTCTCTGTCGACATGGAGATTCTGGGGAAAGTTACTTCACATGATCTGAAGTTGGGAGGTTCCAACATCCTGGTGACTGAGGAAAACAAAGATGAATATATTGGGTAAGTCCCTTGGGTATATACCCAGGAGTGGTGTAGTTGGATCATACAGTAGTTCTATTATTAGCATTTACCTGATTGGACTCCATTTATGGAATTCAGGGAGCATAATTAGACCATAAAGCTCTTCTTTGTGTCCTTAATTTTATTCTTTTTTACTCCTTTGGGAAATTCTCATTAATATCCTTACTTTTTTTTTCTTTATTTTCTTGAGAGAGGGTCTCACTGTGTAGACCAGGCTGCCTTGACCTCACAGAGGCCTGTCTGCCTCTGCCTTCTGAGTGCTGGGATTAAAGGTGTGTGCCACCACACCTGGCCCTTGACCATTTTTTTTCTTTTCTTTTTCATTCCCTCACTCCCTTCTTCCCTCCTTTCCTCTTTTCTTCCTTTCATTTGGTACTGGTGCATGCATCCTCCCTCCGTTCCTAGTCCAGTTTGGTGTCAAGGTGATATTGGCTTTATAAAATGAGTTTGATAGGATTCTTCCCCTTTCTTTTTGGAGAATACTTTGAGGAACATTGGTGTTAAAATGTCTAGTAGAATTTAACAGTGAGTTCATGTGGACCTGATCCTTTTTATTTGAGACTATTATTGTTTCAGTTGCATGCTTTTTATAGATCTATTTGTTTATACCCTCTTAATGTAATTTTAATAGATTACACATGTCTAGAAATTTTACTCTAGATTTTCTGTTTTATTGGAATGTAAGTTTATAAAGTATGCTGTAATGATCCTCTGAATTTTATTACTGTCTGTTTTACTCCATTTTCATCTCTAATTTATTGATTTTGATCTTCTCTCTTTCTTTTGGTAGTTTGGTTTAGAGTTTCTCAGTTATGTCTTTTCCAAAAGACCAACTCTTTGTTCAGTTGACTTTTTGTTAATTTCTGTTCTGATCTTTAATATTTTCTGTCCCCTGATTGAGAGTTTGGCTTGTGGGATTAAGTCATTTGTTAGAATTTTTATAACATTTTTAATTACAATTTGTGTGTGTGTGTGTGTGTGTGTATGTGTGTGTGTGTGTACATGCACCTGTGCATGTGGAAGTCAGAGGACAACTCACAAGTATAAGTTCTTGCGGTCACTGCCAGCAGCGGCCTTTCCTCCGTTCCTGTGGGTGCCGCTCCTTCATTCTCACAGGCGTCGAGGCTGCTCCTCTGCTTGCCCTGGGCTGAGGCCGCTCTTTTGTTCCCCTGGAGCTGAGACAGCTCTTCTGCTTGCCCTGTGCTGCCTCCTGTCGTTGCCGCTTCTGCCCGGTCCCGGACCCCAGGGCTGGTGAAGAGACTGTGTCAGCAGAGCTGCATTCAGACACAGGAGACCAGGTGCAGTGACACAGGTCTGGTTTATTGTAGGAAGGCACAAGCTTATATAGGGGTAGTGGTCCAATCACAGCACAGCAAGTAGGATACCTTATTAGCATAACAGGTTTAGTGTCCTATCACAGTACAGCAAGTAGGATACCTTATTAGCATAGCAGACTTAGCATCCTATTAGCATAACAGACTTAGCATCCTATCACAGAATAGCGGGTAGGATGCCTCATTAGCATACTAGGTTTCAGATTACCGTGCCTGGATTCCTGGAAATCACATGACCCTGACAGTTGCAATATCACCCTAGGCTCAAGCCTGTCTCCCACACCTCCCCCTCCCCCCCTTTTTTTTAAAGGTGAGGTATGTAGCATATTGATATAAGTCCAGATACATCAAGGCAAAATACAGTGGCTCAGGGGATCATTGTATCAAGAGCCCCCTCCCTCAAGATGGTGAGCTTTCTTAAGAGCAGGTTGTGCCAACTCCATGCCAACCAGTGGGAGTTGAGATTCTTTGCCTCAGCATTGTTGTCCCCACCTCAAGGGTCACCCAGCATAATGGACTGTGCCTGTCTTAGGTTGTCCCGTCTGTCAGGATCTTACCCGTCATTGACTACCAGCCCTCAAAGGGTGGGTCCCTTTGTGTGGTTTGGCAGAGGGAGTGGCAGTACATCCAGTATTGGCTTATTTAAAGGCCTCCTTAGGGGTTAAGAATTTGTTGAAACCCATTGCAGGCCAATTATAGGTTGGTAAGGGCAAGGAACAGTGAGTCCTTGTTTGTAGAGCCATGCCTGGCAGATCTGGAAGCGGGGCAACAGCTAACTGAACTAGCCTTAACAAAATTAACAATGTAGGGAAATTTACCTTCTTTTTATTGGCTACATTAATAATCCATCAAGTAAAGGATGTTGACGGGTTGGTGAGGGTTAGCAAGAGTTGCTAGCGCTTGAGAGAAATAATAAGGAACATAGACAAAGGTTTCCTCCAAATTGAGGACTTAAAGCTCTATTGTCTCTGTTTGTGGAGTGAAATGTTCGAGGTTGCCTCAGGTTGGTGGCTTTTGTTGTCTGCAACGTTGGGTCGGTCTCTCGGTGGTAGAGATGTGCGTCACTTCCTCCAGGTTCACGGCTGTCATCTTCAGGGTCGGTGGTTGTGGAGGGAGGGTTTTTGTCGCAAGCAATTCTGATGTTTCGAGCTGGGATAGCATTATCTGGAAAGACATAAGCATAGCCTCGCCCTTGCATTAACATCAGGTGTCAATAATATGATGGACATATTTGAGCTTGCCAAAAGGAGAAAAATTAGTGGCATCCATTTGCCATATTTTATATGGGCCAAGACTTCTAGGGAGGGTCCCAGCGGGTTGTAATGGCCCCAGAGGTAGAAGAGGAGAACAAGAGGAGCAGGCACGGACCAAATGTTTATAGCTCTGAGCACGGAGCATGCAAAGCCGCACTTGTTTAAAGTAGCAAGGAGGTCCCTGTGCCTGGGCTTGTGGGGTTTTAAAAGTGCCATGCCCTACCAAGGTGTCAAACCCAATGTTTTAAACATTGGCATTTCTATTGTGCTCTGCCTGTTGTTCGCATTTGTCCTGATAAGCAGCCTTCCATAAGAGAAAATCACCTTCCTGTAGAAAGGCACGGGCAATATTCTGCCAGTCACAGAGAGTGTTGGCTGCATGGCTGATTGTATCTAATAACTGACCAAACCAAGGGGAATGAATGCCATCCTCAATGGCTGCCTTATGCAGCTTTTTTACAGTATCATGAGATATGGATTCCAGACATTAGGGTTTTGTAGTCCCTGACTGACTGTAACCGGGAAAAACTTTGGAAAATCACCCATTGTATCATAGGAGAGTGGCCTAGGTGGGAGGGGCTTCCAGTCCTCCTCTGGAAGGGAGGGGTAGATGAACTGGCGGAAAACTTCCTTAGAGCTAGTGCAAGATGGTGGAAAGTAGCCACTGCCCGTAATGGCGAAGCGGAGGCTGCCTTAGCTTTCGGTTTTTCATCAAAGCCAATACAAGATGGCAGAGGGTAGCCACTGCCCCTTAATGGTGGGGCAGGGGCGATCTTGACTTCCTGTTTTTCATCAGGGGGACCCTCGGACCCTAATTCCTCAATTTTTACCTCATTATAAGCAGTCATCGTTTCTGCATCATAAATCAGTTAGGGTGGTTTTGACTGGAAACGTGTGGGACAAGCCATTCCCACTATCCTGTTGCTTTATTTGTTTATGTTTTCTAGTATGAGATTATTCTGCTCAGGGGCATTGGGGGGGAGAACTCTCCAAAGCGAGGCCAGAATGGCAGTCACAATGGGGTAGAATGGTCCAGCTAATGGACGCCCCTCCCTGACTTCTCTCTTTCTGGCCATGAATAGCACACAAGCCCATTGCTCCAGACCCCAACAGCAGGAATCCGTAAACCAAGGAGCAAGAGCTAGCACTTCATCTAATACCTTAGTTACTTCCTTCTCTATTACCCTAATTTGCCTACTCCTGAGGAGAGAAACCAGTGCAGCAGTGTGGGGCCGGCAGCAGCTGGATCACTATTCCCCATACTGGAGGGCACTCACCCTGCAAGACGTACCCAGAAGGACTCAGGAGCCATTGAGGAAGACGATCAGTGGAGACAGGAATGACATGCCAAACTGAAGATTATGAGCCAGAAGAGGAAGCACAGGAGAATGAAAGGGGCAAGCACCCATGGAAGAATCACTGGCAAAGAGGGCATTGGGAGCCCCGAGTGTTACAGCCCAAGTGTTACAGCCTCATGGGGTTGGGCTTTTTCGAGCCCCACGTTGGGCGCCAGCTGCAGTCACCGCCAGTGGTGGCCTTTCCTCCGTTCTCGTGGGTGCTGCTCCTTCGTTCTCACAGGTGTCGAGGCTGCTCCTCTGCTTGCCCTGGGCTGAGGCTGCTCTTTTGTTCCCCCGGCACTGAGGCAGCTCTTCTGCTTGCCCTGTGCTGCCTCCTGTCATCGCTGCTTCTGCCTGGTCCCAGACCCCAGGGCTGGTGAGGAGACTGTGTCAGCGGAGCTGCATTCAGACACAGGAGACCAGGTTCAGTGACATAGGTCTGGTTTATTGCAGGAAGGCACAAGCTTATATAGGGGTAGTGGTCCAATCACAGCACAGCAAGTAGGATACTTTATTAGCATAACAGGTTTATCATCCTATCACAGTACAGCAAATAGGATACCTTATTAGCATAACAGACTTAGCATCCTATTAGCATAACAGACTTAACGTCCTATCACAGAATAGGATTCCTGGAAATCACATGACCCTGACAGTTGCAATATCACCCTAGGCTCAAGCCTGTCTCCCACAGGTTCTCTCCTTCTACCATGAGGGTTCCAGGGATTGAATTCAGGTTGTTCAGCTTGGTAGTAAGTGCCCTTACCCACTGAGCCCTCTCTTGGGTCAAAAAAAATTTTTTAATCACCTGTATTTTTTTCAGCGGAAGTATTTGTAGTGTTCAGGTGGGATTAGGTTTTCAGATAGGGTTTAGATGTTGTTCCTTCCACAGGATTGGGGGTGAAGTTCATTGGGGAAACTCTCACTCAGTCCATGTACTCAGGGCACACGTCTCAACCTCAGGTTTCCTCCTAGAATAGAATATTAAATACAGAAACAACCACAACTGATGGAATAAATAGCTAATTACAAATAATTGCTTCTTTAATAATAAT